CAACCTGTGGAAATTCCAGTGACATCAGAAGGAGCTAGCCCCCCTGTCAACCAGCATGGCCACCTTGGCCTGCAGATGCTGACAATGCTGCAGAGATTGCAGGTCGGAGAACTCTCAGCACACAAGAGTTTACAAACCCTGTGTGCTGCACTGCCATTCTCCTGCCAACAACGGACAGTGCCGTCACGTCAGACAAACGGGCCAAAGCTGCTTACACTCCCTGCAACTTAAGAGTTCCTCCCAGCTGAAAGGGGAGGACCCTTCAACACACAAGGCGCGGATTAAGAAGGGGTTACACCGTGTGTGCACACGGCTACACAGCAATGAACACCTGCAATGATAGATAGCCGCGTACAGCTCAGGGCAGACTGTCACTCAAGGAGGCTCAACCCCCAAGACAACCCCCTGTGTGTGAGGCGTGACATGTGTACACAGGCACTGCAAGCAATATCGTCTTCCCCAGCACATACAGTTGGATATGCCAGCAGCATTGGATCAGCAACTGGCTAGTCAAGGCAGTGTCAGTGACAGAAATCTGTACATCTTTCAATACAGGGGGCAGGCTGAACTCACATAATTGAGGCTAACCTAAGATTGCTAGGTCGGACTTGAGGCAGCAAAGGTGTGAAACTGGCAGAGAGCAAGCTGCTGAGGGCATGCTGTGACTGCATGTCACAGCAGGCATGCAGTGACTGCACAGCCCCCACCCAGCAAAGCAGGGCTGACAGCCTCCAGCAAACAGGCAGGAATAGAGACACCAAGCACACATGCATGCACAGGCATTCAGCTGCGTACCACACGCAAACATTGTTGCGCAGTACAGTGTGCCAAGCAATAACTGGCTGTCGTGTACGCAGTTGACTTCCCCATCGTTGAGGCACCCCAGCTGCAGCAGCAAAATCAGCAAGCCGTCTTGAAAATCACCTGGCGCCGCGCGCACTGCCACTTGCTCAACAAGCACAGGGTCACCAAGCGCTGAGAGGCTGCCCAGGCTACTCGGCGGCCGTGCTCACATGCATGCATGCATGGCTGCCAAACACACCATGTCCCACAGAAGCTGGTGCACATTGTGGTGAGGGACACATGCCAGCCACAGAGCAATGGTTGGGCTTGATTAGCACTGGGCAGGGGGATCACCTGGGAACCCCGATTGATGTAGTGTCCTAACCCTATAAGCCAGACACTTCCGTCGGCTCCTGATCGGGCTTTTCTACAAACATGTTGGATGGAGCATTTGATGCAATGCAATGTAATGTAATGTGATGTGATGAGCATGTGATGTGGTGTGATGTGATGTACTGTATGCGCTGTGACAGCCGTCGTCGCAATTCACCTCTCAATTTGAACTGCTCTACTCGCTGTGATAGCCGTCGCAATATACCTCTCAAACTTGTTGCATGGCAGGCGTGCGCCTGCAGTCAGCATGTTCAATGCACTGAGCTGACTCTCCACCTCTTTCTGCACGGCAACAGTCACATCACATCAGCATCACCGCCCGGCCGCTGCCAACCCAAGTCAGCACATCACATTTCCCGCGCTAGTAGAACGTCAGTTGATGATAGCACAGAGAGCTGTGCGTTGCTTTCACCAGCAGCTTGAGCAGCTGCAAGGTGAGCATGTGCAGCAACAACCCACATTTGGGGTGCCAGCCCCAACAAAGCATGTACATGCTGGCGTGCCAGCTGCCTGTCAGCATATATTGTGGCTTGTTGCATAGCCATGGACCCCAGATATCTCATCTCACATCGATGTCACGCTCACATGCTGAGCGTTGACCTTAACAGACATTTGGATGGGCCAGGCAAGGCACAAACTCGATCCAACTCAGATGACAGCAGCACAGCCTGGCCACTGAGCGATTGCAACTTGGAAAGCTGAAAAATACCAGGAGCAATCACATTCTCTAGACCCACGACAACATTACAACGCTGATCAAACCATTCCCAAAACTGTGGTGTTGTAAACAAAGGGCTGGCCCTCAACAGTGCCTGCCATCACAGCTCACCAGTATCTGATGCGTCCTGCCCAACAGCTGCAACGCATACTGAGAAGAAGGGCTCCAGTAGCAGTGGCATAACATGCTGCACCATCCCTGCTGCACATGGCATGGCCCTAGGGCAATGACTATACATGAAGCACACGCACCAGCACAACCAACGACACGATGCGAAGTGCTGAGTGACGGAAATCAGGCAAGTAGCCAGACCAGCAACAAAGTAGGGGACTATGCAGGGACATACAGGAGTGCTGCCCAGACAAACCAACGCCCCCAAACACACCGTCTACTACTTGATGCCAACAGCCCACTCAAGCAGAGACAGCCTGGAGTAAAAATGGACGTCTTCTGGGGTAAAGCGCGGAATTGTGGGGTTACACGGTGTGCTCAAACGTCTACGCCACTATGGACACCTGAAAAATTAGGAAGCTGCGAGCAGCTCAACTCAGGCTGTCACTCAAGGAGGCTCAAACCCCAGAAAAGCCTCTGTGTGTGGGGCAAGACATCGGCCGTGCTAAGCACAACCCATCGTCCCCGTTACACACAAATGTTGTTTGCTCTGGAAGTATCTGTACATGCAAGCAGTAATCTAAGCAGTGTCAGTGACAGCCTGAGTAATCTAAGCAGTGTCAGTGGCAGGTAGAGTAGGAGAGTGGTTTGATATCAGCACTGGGGTGCGGCAGGGGTGCGTGATTGCTCCTTTGCTGTTTAACGTGTTCTTTAATTGTGTAGTTAGGCAGGCGCAGGCAGCAATGCCAGAGGGCTGTGGTGTGCAGCTGACTTACCATGCAAATGGTGAGCTGTTCCAACTGTCAACCGGTGCTGGTTCCTGCTTGTTTACCCTTTCCACTTTGTTGTATGCAGATGATATGGTGCTCATGAGTTGCTGTCAGGAGGAGCTTGAATGCATGCTCAGGATTGTGGATGACATTTGCAACAAAATGGGCATGCGTATCAATGCCAGCAAAACAGAGTTGTTAGCTCTGGCACCCTTTTCTACTGGTCCTCCGCCGCAAGGTGTGCAGCTGTCAGGAGGGGTGGCAAATTATGTGTCTAGCTTCAATTATCTCGGTGGCATTGTTGATACAACTGCCACTTGTGATGCAGAAGTATGTGCCCTCATAAGCAAGGCCAAAGGCAGGTCTGCTCAGATGCAGAGACTCTGGGGGATGAAGAACATGTCTGTGAGTGTGAAGATGCGATGCTACAATGCGTATGTTTTGCCTGTTATCATGTTTGCCAGTGAGACATGGGCTTTGACTAAGCAACAGACGGAGCGCCTGGAGTGTGTACATTCTAGCTGCTTGCGGCAGCTGTTACACGTGCGGCTCTCTGATAGACACCGTCTGGTGAATATCAGGAAGCAGTGTGGCACAGTTAGCCTTGCAGAACACCTTGCGGCGGCTCGCCTGAGGTGGCTGGGGCATGTTGTGCGCATGGATGAGGGCAGGATCCCCCAAGTTGCTTTGTTTTCTTCATTGCATGGAGTTATGAAGCGGCCTAGGGGCCGGCCTCCAGTTCGGTGGCAGGATTGTGTACACAGCGACTTGCAGCGGCTGGGACTCCCTCATCAGATGGATGACCTGCGTGGTTACTGTCTTACGAGGGGCGCATGGCGTATTATGGTCTACAGGGTTACACACCCTGAGGCCGTAGGGGCTCCCCTGCGGTTTTCCCGTTCCTCCTCCCACTACAGGCAGCAGCAGTCACTGATGAGACAGCAACGCCTACAGCAGATGTATATAGTTTCTAGTGAGCCGTTTATGATTGCTGGTGTGGGCTGGCAGTGCCCTTGTGGGAGGATTAATCCCACGCGGAAGTGCACTGACGCTGTGGTCCAGCTCAGGGCCATCAGTGATTAGGGCTTGGGTATGATCATTGCATAAGAGATCTGTCAAGCGAGCGCTCTTGCGTTCAAGGTTTTGGCCGTATCTGGCCCTAGCTTGTGGGCCTGCGCCCACCGGCCGGTTAGGAACCACCGCGGTTAGGAACCACTGAAGGCGGTTTGGGAGCGGCTCCCCTTTCTTTTGGGTTGTCACTCTTGCTAGAAAAACGTGTAATTGATTGATTGTCAGTGACAGCAATCTATACATGTTGCAGTACAGGAAGCGGGCTGAGCTGATGAGCATGACACTGACTCAAGGCAGCAAGAAGGAAAGACACGGCAGAGGGCTGCCAGCTGCTGAGGGTTTTCATGGCTGCATATCTCAACATGCATTTAGTGACCCCACATCCACCCACTTTGGAGTGGGGCTGGTGGCCTCCAGGAAACAAGCAGGGAGAAGGCAGCAGGAACATACATATGCATGCACAAGCAAACCACCTGCGGACTACACGTAAACCATTGCCGCGCAGCACAGTGCCCCAAGCAAGGAACGGCTGCCGCGTAAGCAACTGAACTCTGTGACGATCAGGCACCCTGGCTGTAGCAGCACAGTCAGCAAGCGCATCCCAAAAGCCGCCAACTGCCATTCCCACTGCCACTTGCTCAACAAGCACAGGTACTCCAAGCCGACAGAGACTGCCCAGGCTACCCTGCGGCCATGTTCACATGCATCTATGGCTGCCAAACATTAAAAATGAAAAAAGCGCCCCATTTGAGGGGTTACACGGTGTGCTCAAGCGGCTACGCCACAACGGACACCTGGAAGAAAAGGAAGCTGCGTGCAGCTCAACGCAGGCTGTCACTCAAGGAGGCTCAACCCCCAGGAAAGCCACTGTGTGTGGGGCCAGACATCAGCCGTGCTAAGCACGACCCGTCGTCCCCGTCACACGCAAATGTTGTTTGCTTGGGAAGTATATGAGCATGCAAGCAGAAGTCCTAAGCAATCTTATACATGTTGTTTTTTGAAAAGAATTTGAGGGGTTACACGGTTTTATGAAAAAGCGCCCGAGTTGTTTTTGAAAAAGTCATTGTTTGCGGTTATCAACGTACTTTTCGACCGTCTCGTCATCTTCTGCAATCTTCCCGACCACTCGAGCTGAGTGATATCCAGAGAGGCAAGGTCCTATGGCCAAATGGATAAGGCGTCGGTCTACGGAACCGAAGATTCCAGGTTCGACCCCTGGTAGGATCATTTTGTCTTCATGGCAGGCCAGCTGCTGGTGGTCTTCAGGCTGGCTGCTGCTCCTCACTCCTGCTAGCCAAGCTGTCGCAGCACACGAAGCAGCACCATGCTTGCACAAACTGATGCTGCCACCTGCATCTTGCCCGATGGCTTGATCAGGCACAATCACAACACCTGATTTCCTCCTCTTGCAATCCGCATAGCTTGCGCAAGCTACAAACACACGCTTGGCCACAGCCTTGATGATCACAGAGCGTCAAAATGCTAGGGATTGCACAAGTCGCATTGCACAAGTCACACCTGCAAAAGCAGACCAGAGTGCCTTTCTTGAAGCTTCCTGATGCTCCGCCGCAGCACACGGCATTCCTGCCTACCTGCACCTGCGTGCTGACCTCTAGATCTGCAAGTGCAGTATATATGTCTATTTGCTGCTGTCAAGACATGCTGTTGTCCAGAGATGCACTGCACGGCAAAGCCATCAGCATCCACAGTTTGGATGTGACAGGACGGGAACATCGCCCGTTTTCCAAGCCAATGACAGCATCCAGCTGCCTGCATGAGGTGCACGTTGATGTCTGCTGCCGGCCAGAGAGTGCCTGTTGGTTGATATGTTTGTACTGCTGCTGCTGGCTGCTGCTGCTGCCTCATATGAACAACTGACACACCACATGCAGCGCATGCAGCAAATGTGGGTGAACACGCAATGAATGACACTGGACGTACAGTGGTGTTACAAAAGCTTTCATGGCTGTGCTGGCAGAAGTTAGAGCGGAAGCCGGCAACAAGCTAAGTGCACTTGCAGGTGCAATTGCACGCATCGGGTGCGCATGTAAAAATGTACATGTTCGTTGCGTCCTTGGCCCAGTGCACACAACTGCAACACTGCTGAACAAGGTTCTGGTCAACAAGCATCAGCAAGCGCCGTAAAAGTCCGACTATTATCACCTCAGAGGCAGCACAACAAACACTTTTTGAACCACACCCTGCGCCATGCACAACCTGACAGCCTTCCAACTGCTTACAGCAGCTGTGTGCACGTTGTAGCAAATGCATGAGCAGGACAGCCGCTACCGTAATCAACCTATGCCATCACTATGGCAATGCCCGACAACGTCAACCACAACTCCCCATCAGCTGCATCTGTTGACATCCGGTTGCACCATCAACCACCCAACAAGGGGCCCCACTCGCTGAACCAACTCAGTTTCATATCACCGCCACTCTCAGTGCCTCTTGTCTGCCGCCTCATCAAGCAGAGCTGACGTGACCTGTATGCTGACCAGTGGCACGCTCAGCTGCCCCACGCTGCCGGAGTGCCGCGCCCCCAGCATCCCCCCATGGCCCCTGCCTGCAAACCCGGCTGCAAACCCACCACGCCTGCTGAGCCACTTCATGCCCTCATCCACCAGGATGACAGGCGCACTCAGCAGCAGCACACACCACCACTCAGCCCAGCTCAAGTGCGTGATGCCAAACAGGAGTGCCAAAGCTGGCACATACATTATCAGGCAATGCAGCGCAACTGACACTGCAATGGCCGCGAGCAGCCACCCGTTGTCCCAGAAGGGGATCACTGCAAGGCTGCTGTTCTCACTGATGTTGTTCAGCGCGTTGAACATCTCCACAATGACGAGTACGCTCATGGAGATTGTCTTGGGGTGCTTGTCGGAGAAGACTTCACAAGAGTAACCTGCTGACTTGGCAGCTGCTGAGTCACACTTTTGGAAGTGTGACAGGGCTTTCCAGCTCAGCTTGGGTCCGCCAGAGTACCACAGGTACCACCACACAAAGCCGTAGACAGTCGACAGCCCCACATACATGCCGATGACAACGTACCTGCATGCAGCACAGAAGCAAAGGACACCATGGCTTGATGGCCCCTTGCCTTGAAAGTATGCTGCTGGCAGCCATACACCGTTAAATGACCATGTATTCAATCATGCAGAAACTGAAACAACGATGCTCCCGTGGTGGTTTGCAGACAGAGGGAGTACAGCAGTGGAAGGGAGCATGGTGGATCATGCTGCCGTTCCGTCACTGCACTTCTGACACACGCGCCATGCCAGTGGCCCCACAGGCACCCTCAGGCGTCTCTCAGTCGACGCAGCCTGGCTGCCTGCGTGCACACCCCCCACCTGAAGAACAGCCAGCCGTTGACGATGCGCTCCCGCATGCTGCGTGGCGGCCGCTGCATCACGTCCCTGTCAGGCTTGTTGAAGCCGAGGGCTGTGGCAGGCAGGCCGTCTGTGACCAGGTTCACCCACAGCAGCTGCACGGGGGTGAGCACCTCGGGTATACCCAGCAGCGCCGCAATGAAGATGGCCACGACCTGGAGTGTGGCAACGGCAGCAGCGCCAGCAGCAGCAGCAACAGCAATGTCAGCACCATGGTGATGCGCACAACCCTGACGACGCATTGGACAACTGCCTGGCAGCAGCAGCAGCAGCAGCAGCGGGAGCAGTGGGAATCTCCACCTCAAGCCCTTGTTTGTACGTCCACATTAACGCTGTCAGGGTTACGGCTTGACAGGCCCTGCACCCGCTGGTGACAGCGACGGCAGCCCACGCCATCGACGAGACCCACCTCTCCAATGTTGCTGCTGATCATGTAGCGGATGAACTGCTTTGTGTTGGCGTAGATCGCGCGCCCCTCGCGCACGGCGCTCACAATGGTGCTGAAGTTGTCGTCCGCCAGCACCATGTCTGCCGCATGCTTGGCCACCGCCGTGCCGCTGCCCATGGCGACGCCAATGTCTGCACGCACCAGCGCGGGAGCGTCGTTGACGCCATCGCCCGTCATCGCCACGACATGGCCCTGCAGCCGCGCAAAGCGGCAGCGCCGACACGCACGTATCGTGTTCAGTATGCGTGCTGCAGCCGCACAGACAGCGGCTGAGACAGAGCGGCGGCTGCAATGGATGTTCCCCCACACAGCACCAGTCATGAAGCCAGCATGGCTGGATGATGGTGCGTGTGCCTGTCGCATGTTCCTGCTTAGCTTTCCATATCTGGACTGTATACGTTTCCTCCACAGGCGCGATATTCGCGCTTTGTGGTTTGCAAGCATGTTTTGCTGCCGTCCATGCTTCCAGCAGCCCAGCCAGCTTGAGCACTGTGCAGCAGCTGCAGTGGCATTGCTTCCCAGCCATGCTCCCACTAGCACTGCCAGCATGGGCCATGGGCAGCAGCTCCACACATACACGCAGCACCAGCACCCCGTCGGCTTGGCAACCATGCACAAATGATTACAATACGCATGGTGTGTTCAGAATCAGGAACCCGCGTACATTGGGATGAAGTGGGTACGATGGTGATGAGGCCCGACGCGCCTCCCCTCCTCCCATCATTGACCTGACAAGCCTTCACTGCTATTACTAATCAGCAACCAAGCATGCATGCCTACCTGTGAGCGCAACAGCCCACTGCTCGCAGCCTGAGCGCTGCATCCACACGCGTGCACACCCACGACCCTACACCCCCCACCCCATGCCGATGCGCGCGTGGTGTACTCGTGCGCCTCCACATGCACTGACGTCAGCGCCAGGCACGCCTCCACAGCGCAGCGGCAGCCGCCTCCACCAGCCTCACCAGATCACAAATTGACGCTGAGTAACACCAGTTTAAACTGGTCACCACCCTGTCACAGTGACATGGTTGTCCAGATGCAGCCACCGCATCATATCACACTCGACCGACAGTGGATGCTTCACCCCACCTGTGCGCGCAGCAGCTCCACCAGTCGCAGCTTGTGCAGCGGCTCCACGCGCGCAAACACGGCCAGGCTCTTGCTGGCCGCCACCTGCTGCTCAGGCGACAGCCGGTCAAACTCAGCTCCTGCGACAGTAACACCGCGATGTACAGCAAGGTGGCACAGCACGCGGCTCGCTCAGAGGCAATACAGGGTGGGTGTGCGGCATAAGGCAGCGTCCGAGCTCCTGGACAGACCACGGAAGGAAACAGGACAGCACAGCGTACATCAGCAGCTGAATACAGCCATGCTGGAGTGTTGCTCGACTGTGCCAGGGGTTCACGTCGTGCCTGAACGCCCCCCAGCCACCTCTGTGTCACTTGGCTGTTATGCTGGCAGCCTGCTTTGTGCTGGTGCCGTGTCGCCCCCCACCTGTCAGTGATGTGAGCTGCTCAGGGTCCAGGCCCGCGTCAATGCCCAGCGCGCCCACATCCCTGCACACCGCCTCTGCAGTGGCCTGGTTGTCGCCTGTGACCACGATCACCCGGATGCCTGCCTGCCTGCACGTCTGGATGGCCCCCGCACACTCCCTGCACGGTGCAGCGGCATGCACACGCCAGCATCGTCCGCATGAGTACATAGTAACAGCACCAGCTGTCACCTGTATGCCTGCCTGCCCTGCAATTCTGACTGGCAGCAGAGCGCTCTTTGTGAGTGAAGTTGCGCGGAGCATGCACAGTGAGGGGTCAGTGCAATTTCAAAGCCAGGCAGCACCCTGATGCCTGCCTGCCTGCAAGTTGATGTGGCCCCCGCACACTCCCTGCCCGCAGTTCATGCGCACTGCAAGCGTCACTACACAACCACATGCCTGCCAGAATGCAGGACTGCACCGCACCCCTGCACATGTCCAAGCACACCAGAAGGGTCGGGGCACAGCCTTGAGAGCAGGGCAGCGGGCGGCTGAGCGCGGCAACGCAGGACAGGCCTGCACTGGTTCGCCCGGGCACACTCAGGTGGTGTCTTGCAAGCAGCCTCATCAACGGCTGCACAAGCACCATGTGCAGTACACCTTGCAATGCTGTGGTGTTTGGTCAGCAGCCATGGGCAGGCGCACCTGCGCGGCGGGTCGTGCATGGCCACCATGGCCACAAATGTGAGCCCGGCCTCGTCCAGGGGGCTGAGCGAGTGGCCCAGCTCCCTGCTCGCAGGCTTGTAGGCAAGCGCAAGGCAGCGCAGCGCCTGCGCACCTGCAGGACAGGGCAACAGCGGGCATGCACAAGTCAGCAGCCGTGTCATCTGCTGGCCCACGGCCTTGTGAGAGG